CCGTTGACCCAGCCACTGAGTCAATCCATTTCATCCAGGGTCTTCCTCTCTTGTGCTGTCCCTCTGTCACACTTCAAGCATGATGTCCTTCTCCAAGGATTGGTCCCTCCAAGCAACATGCCCAAAATATGTGAGACAGAGCTTCAAAATCTTTGCCTCCAAAGAGCAACTTGGCTTCACCCTCTCCAGGACAAACCTGTCTGGTCCCTTGGCAATCCATGAAAAGTTCAATATTCTTTTTAAGTACTACAACTCAAAAGCATTGGTCCTTCTGTCATCAGTATTCATTGTCCAACTCTCTAATGCAGATGAAGTAATTTCAAATACCGTGACTTGGATAAGGTACATCTTAGTCTCTAGACTGACATCATTGCTCTTCAACACTCTTGAGAGTTTCCTGACAGCAGATTTTCCCAATGAAATCCATCTTTTGATTTCCTGACTGCTGGTGCCAAGAGTGTTGATATGGAATTAAGCAAACTAAAGCTGTTAACAATCTCAATCTCTTTATCATCCATCATCATCCAATTGGCCCAGTGGTGAGAATCTTTGTTTTCTTGATGTTGAACTTCAATTCATATTGAAAGTCTGCAGCAAGTGCTTCAGGTACCCCTCGGTTTCAGCAAGCAAAGTTCTGTCATCTGTATAATGCATGTTGTTGATGAGTCTTCCTCCAATCCTGATGCAACATTCCTCCTCATAAAGTCCAGCCTCCTTAATGACCTGTTCTGCATATTGATTGAAAAGGTATGGAAACAGGATGTATCCTTGATGCACTCCTTTCTTAATTTTGAACCATGCAATGTTTCCATGCTCTGTTCTAAGTATAGGTTTCACAGGAGCACAATCAAGTGTTCTGGGATTCCCATTCTTCTGTTGTGATCTACACAAATGCCTTTGCATAGTCAAGGAAACACAGATAGACATTCCTCTGGTAGTCTCTGCTTTCAGCCAAGATCCATCTGACACTGGCTATGACGTCCCTAGTTGCATGGCCTCTTCTAAACCTGGCTTGTATTTCTGGTAGTTTTCTGTCAATGTAATGTTCCAGTTAATTGTTGTTGGTTTTTTAATTAAAAATACCATTGGATCAGATGCACCTTAGTCTTTAAACTGACATTGTTGCTTTTTAGCATTTTAAATTGGTCCTTGACAACAGGTTTTCCCAGTGCAGTACTAATTTTTTGACAAGAACATTGACTAGCAGGAATAAAATCATACTAACAAACCCAGATGCCATTGCAAATATATATATTTTTTAAAATATAAGAGTGTTTCTCTTTGGCCTCCTGCCTGCATTTCATCTACTCACAACATCTACTTTCTTATGTAGATGTCTTTTCCTCCAGAGAGCAAAGGACTTCTCCTCTCTGCTCTATGTATAATAGAGTATGTATAACACTTTCAGCATCTGTGGCCATAATACCTGTGAGATTCTGGGATTATTTTCTTTTTAAAATTCAAACTGTCCAGGAAGTTTCCAAACAGAAATTCATGTGTGAAATTCCTTTTTAGAAAATTTTTATTGCTTTATCTGACATGTAATTTACAGCTCTAGTGATACAGTCTAGTGGTATGTACTACAGTCTAGTGGTGTACTGCTAACCCAAATGCCACATATCTCAGGTGGTTCAAAACCACCAACTACTTCCTGAGAGAAAACTAGGAAGTTTCCTTTTTGTTGAGATATACAGCTTCAGTGTTATGAGTCTGAACTTACTTGATGGCAATGAGTCTTTAGTTTAATATTTATCTAGCTGCTATTTCAACACAAAGTAATTTTGAAGTTCTCTGGAGCTGACAGGCTCACAGGAGAAAATAAGAAAGAGATATCTCTCATTGTGACAAGAGTTTGTTCTAAAAATATGTGATCAGTTTTTCCTCTGTGCCTTTTGAAGGATGGGAGAGGGAAGTGAAAGAATTCATACGATGAGAATTCATTTGATACTAGTAAATTTTAGGGTCTTTTGAAGGTATGCTACTAGGTTCACCATCACTAGAGAGAGTTTAAGTCTTAAGGAATTCCATTTTAAAGGTGAGATAATTGAGACTTCAGGTAGTTGCAAGGCATTC